GAAAGAGAGGAAGACATTTTGCCCCTCTGTCCCCATCCCACGTACATGTGCACACGTACCCTTCCCCTCCCTCCCCTACTTTGACTGCACTGTACTGTACTGTCTTTTTGTTTTTCTTTTTTTTTAAAAGCCTGACAACTAAGAAAAATATTTTTAAAAAGAAAAGGATTTTTCTTTTTTACATCAGTCCATAAAAGACCCAACTAAATAGCCTGCAGGTATAAGAAAATGCCTCTATGGCAAGGGCTGCCACATGCAAGCGGAAAAGAAACTTAAAAAGTAAAAGCCAAACCAAAGAGTCCACCCCCACCACTAGTTTAGTTCTTGAGGCTTCTCATTGCAGTGATAGTAGCCTGTGGTTTAATCAAGTGCTACCCTCAACCCCTCTACCTTAAACATATAGGAATCTACAATTTAAGTGAAGTGGTGGGTTAAATTTGAGTCAGGCAGTCTCTGGGAATGTGGATTAAAGCTTGAAAGCTGTTGACACAAAGAGTAGAAATTTAGTGGGGGCTAAGCTGCTCCTTGCTGCTAATATCTATTATATCATTACATTGGTGTAGCTTATGTATTATTTTGCGGTATGACTGTCCACCTGAGCTCAGTTAGCTAGGGTTTCAATAACTTGAACAATGCCAGGTGGACAAGTCCTGTGTTGCTAATGAAACTGCTCTGCATTGCTTCAGTATTGTTTCACAGCATGGCTACTCTCATGCTCCTAGTGTTACTCTGGTAGTCTTCTTTCCAGCAGTTAGTTTAAGTCTTGAATCATTGTATGTCTTATGTGAACCAGTAACAAATTATAAAATCTGCAGAATTTGTCACTAGCTTCAGGTGTATGTTATGCAGACATTGCCCATATAGGGCAAATTTTAAGTGGGCCTTGGTAGGAGAGACTTGGTTCTATCATAAAAACCTGAGCACTGTTTCTAGCTCTGTTAGAATAGTCTTTTAGATCATCAGATGAAGGACAGAGAATTATTGATACTAGTTGGTGGAAGAGTTGTGGCTTGTATTAAATTTGATTGACCACATCTGTAATTCAGCTAAAAATCCTTTATTAAATCCAGAGGGCAGTAATAGTTATACAGTTACTTTAAACAAGAGTTCTAAAATACTATAACACATGCCAACTTTATATTAGATGGCAGTGCTACAGCATTTACTGTATTTACTTGAATCCAAGATGAGGGGTTTTTACCCAGTCAGATGGAGTGGGGGCGGGGTGTGTGTGGAGAGCCTAGTCTTGGATTGAGTACCAGCCTGGGCAGGTGACAGCTAAGTTCTGGCTTGAGCTCTGGGCTAAACATTGGAAGTGAGCTGTTGCCTGCCCTGGGTTGGAATAGCTTGCGTGGCAGGAGAGGGGGACACATGGCCAGGGTGAGCATGGGGGAGACAGGTGGGGGAACCTGCAGCCAGTCCCCCACTCCATGCTCCGTTTCCCCCAGCTGTCCTCTCCCCTCTTACCTTCTGCTTTGGCTTTGGTTTGGTCCCCCCCAGCCCTGACCCTGCTTGGCTGCCTCTGCTTTTCTCTAGTTAGGCTGGGCTAGGATCAGGCTGGGGCTGCATTGCTTCTGACTGCCCCAGAGGAGCAGAGTTGCAGCAGAAACTAAGCAGAAGGTTGGGGGAGGAGGGGAGCAAGGGGGGAGGAGGGGAGCAGGGGTTGGAGGAAGCAAGAATTGGGGAGCAGGCACAGGTATTGGGAGCAAGGGATGGCGGGGTACAGGCGGCAGGGGGGTGCATGGTGTGGGAATGTCGGGGGGACAAGGGACAGGGGAGCAAGGGGTAGGGGATCTGGTCCCTTGCCTTCTACCACTGCTTTCCCCACCACAGCAGTGGGGGAACCAAGCAAATTTAAGATGAACTTCCACTAATTAGATTCTATACGTGGAAAATTATAACAAATGTATAATTTTCCATGTGTAGATTCTAATAATTGGGGGGGAAGGGGCCATCTTAAATTTGGAGTAGTCTTGTATTTGGGTAAATATTGTATAAATGGCTGTACCCACACAGTGTCTTGTGGGTTATGAACATTTGATCGATCAGAATGTGTATAATCAGGCTAGCAAGGGAAACATTCCAGCTGCCCCATGATGGCTGGTTCTGGTAGATTCAACTTCTATTAGCAAAGAGCCTTTCCTTGTTCTGTTTTATCCATGTAGATTTTTTCATTACATAATCATCTTCTGCCTTCCAAAAACAAATAAAATCAATTGCAAGACATCCATGAATATCTATTTTGTTATTCCCACAATTTTCCTTGTTATCCTTAATCCATTCTTGGTTTTCTAGTCAGGTGGTTGATGTATCATTCTTGCTATTGTCTAACAATATTTCTTGTGTGTTAACTTATCTGTAGTAGCTCCTTTCCTTCGTTGAAGATTTAGCGGCTTCCACCTGAACCGTAGTGTTTATTTGTCTTTGTCTCTGTTAAAATCAGTGGTACCCAACTCATCTGGCTCTGTGGGCCTGATCTGGTGCATGGGGCCAGTCTATGGTTCCATGTCCCCTCCCATGGGTCTAGAAATCTAGTGGCTTTTGAAGCTGCAGCAGTTAATGCTGCCACTGCTTCCCTAATGTCAAATTTCTGGACCCGTGGAGGGCCTTGGAGGCTGGATGACAAGACTCTGCATGCCAGATCAGTCCATGGGTCATATCTTGGGGATCTCTGATTGAAACCACGGATTCCTGGATGTTAAATCCATGCCTGTATTAAGGATGTAAATATTGTTAAAAAAATTATCCATGTGACTTTCTCCAGTTATATCGTTTAAACAGTTAATGGATAGCTCATACCTACTTTAGTGACCTCTGACAGGAATGGGCCTGGCTCTAGCCTCTTATGTCTTCATCATGTACCCAGCACTATGCAGGCCCCAGGCTGCTGGTGGGGAGCTGCAGCTGGAAGGCAGTGGACTGGGACTTGGATGGAGCTGGCGCTGTGGACCTCTCCTGTACCTGGATCCTGCTGCCACAGGGAGGGAGTAGGGGGAGGTGCCAGGCCTCCCACAGGCTGGGCAGTGCCTTCCCCCCACAGCAGTGAGAATCCTGGCCACACAGTGGGTCTGCCCAGCCCTCCTGCAGCAATGGGGCCCAGTTAGGGCAATGGACTCGCTGTGTCTACCATCGTGCTCATGCTGCTGTGGCCCAGACCTGGACGACTCCTCTGTGCTGCTGACCCAGCCCCTCCCCAGCTTGCCCCAGGTAAAGTGGTGGGAAGTCTAGTCCCAGTGGGCCGCCCAGTGGGGCGGCCTTCACCAGGCATGCTGCGTCTTTCCCCCTTGTGTCCATGGTGCTGAGGCCACATAGGGCCTGGGACGGCCATGTGGGCAGTGGCGTTCCCCAGGGCTCGGTCCTTGGGCCTATGCTATTCAACATCTTTATCAGCAACTTGCAAGTGGGTGTGGAAAGCACGCTGTCCAAGTTTGCTGATGACACAGATGTGGGGAGAAGTGGGCACGCAGGAGGGGAGGGACAGACTCCAACTAGATCTAGACAGGTTACAGAGGTGGCAGATGAGAATAGAATGGAATTCAACGCAGACAAGTGCAAGGTGCTGCATCTAGGGAGAAGGAACCTGCAACATACCTACAGGCTGGGGAATACCCTTCTC